TGGCCTTTCGTATTTATATTGTATTAGCTTTAGATTTACTTATATATATTTTTAGGCCAATATAATGTTACTCTAATATTGCAATAATTTAATGTAGGCTTTGTAACTGAAAAACCCAGCTTAGGAGTTGCAACTTTGAACGTAAGTATGTATGTATGTAGGTAGGTAGGTAGGTAGGTAGGTATGTATGTATGTATGTATGTATGTAAGTAAGTGCTGGCCCTACTCCAGAAATATTTTGAATAGAGCTGCAATGAGAGACAAAGCGACGTCATTTATTACGGGTCCAAATTATCCGTGGGCGAATAAAACTAATTTAGTATGTAGTGACAAGAGGATATGAACTGATATTCTCATGGAAGTGAAGTTAGTCCCTCAGCTTTAGCTGGGATGTTTATCATCAATTTGGCCAAGGCAACCCTGATTTCGTTCAGCATTACCATCAGCGGACCAACTGCATTCTATATGGAGGTTTTGGAATGGCTAGAGGGTGGTTTCTTGGCATTTGCGCCAGCGTTGGTGTCCCTTTTGGTCGCATTCGCTGTTTTGTCTCAGCTCGTAAGGCTGTTGCGTTTCTTTGTCACTCGATTTCTTTCATTGCTTCTTGATGCTTTGTTCCTGTCCTTTGGATATGGACCAAGAACGAAGACCTCTTCTACATTTTGCTGAACAGCACTGATATCGAGGATAAAAACAGGATATTGCGAAATTTTTTTCCAAAAGTTTAAGTTAATTTTGTTTAGTTTTTAGTTTTATGCGCTCCAGCTTGCAAGGTTAAAAAATTAGTCAAAACCAGTTTATAGGTTTTACTTCGGATAATATGATTCTATTCACAATAGTCGATTCGTCTATTAATAATTTGAATGAACTAATGCTTTATTTTGATGTGCTGGTCAAAAAAGGTTCTGTTTACAGATCTAGTAAGATTTTTTTCCCAAGTTTTCAGCCCTATTGGATGTTGGCTAATGCGTTGCTGCGATTGGTCTGTAGCGCTTCGACTTCAACCCAATTTTTTCCCAGTGTAGCTTTCGGTTTGTAAGAATGTTTAAAAAGCCTATTCTCCAACATGCAAAAAGTACAAAAAATAATCAACTTAATAAAATTGATCAAAATTCTATCAGACTTGGTATATTGAATAGCTTATATAGTCACCTCAAGAATTAATTCATTTATAGTCGGGTTTTACGTTAACTGACAATCCATGAAACTAAAACGGCGATGATAAATATCCATAATAAACTAAATAAAACTTATCGGTTTGTACTACGCACGAGTCAATGCATCCGCTCGATATTTTCAATGTCTATGAACAATAGAAATCAAAGCTTGTTGTGTAACGTTACTTATTGAGTATGGGTTAGAACAATGACTGTTTCAGCGACGTGAACATCTAATAATTTTCGTGAGAGTCTGAAATTCTTTTCGCTTGCTTGTTCTGATTTGGTTTTTCCTTTTTTGTCATTGCAATCAAGAGAATACAATTCTCTTGTTGCAATACACCTTTCATGCCACTGTTTCTGTGCCAATAAACAAGAAAAGGCTAGAAGCTATCTGATATCTAAACCAACAATTTATTGATTTGAATTTAACACTAGCGTAAACTTGAGCTTTATAGTAAAGATCTCCAAGGATGCTACAGGACTCTTAGATTTAGAGTTTTGTGGTAAGATTTCCGCCANATTACCGTAAGGAAAAAGAAAACGATCATATCAAATAGGCTGAAAATGTACCAAGACGAATAAAATTTCTCAAGTGGACTTACAATTTGCAATATTGGTTTTAGTGGAGGGGAGGGAGCATTAATAGAGAACCAGGAGAAAAACCTTCGGGGTAAAGTCGACAGCCAAAGCATTCAATTTACAAATACCATAATGACCCTTGTTTTTATAATTAGGCTAAAGATTTAAGCGAGAAATTAAAGGAAGATGAACCGCGGTTGATCTCAATGTCCATGTACTCTGGTAATGCTATTAATGAAACAGAATAGGGCGCCTATAGGAATGTGGGTGTTTATCAGAATGAGAGTACTTACTCAATGAGGGCGTTTATTAACAAAAAACAAATTCGAGGGGGGGGAAGGGGCCTATTGGAACGAGGGTACACTCAGGAATCGAAACTTGACCAAAGCCGTGGGAGAAAATGGCATTCGACAGAAACTGCTTTCTTACACGTAACAGATAATTTTCTCATGGCCATGGATAAGAGTGAAGTGTCCGTTGTCGTGCTACCAGACATGTCTAAGGCATTCGACAGTATCAGACGTGATATTCTCCTTCAGAAGTTACAGAGTATAGGTGTTGCCTCCTCGAGCTTGGAGTGGTTTCATAATTACTTGTCTGGTCGTAGCCAGAGAGTGCGCATTAGGGATGCTATCTAAGAACCCGCTCCCTCTTAAATACAGAGTTCCTCAGGGTTCCATCTTGGGACCCGTGTTATTTACCATCTATGTAAATGATCTCTTGTCCGTTCCAGCCCACTGCAAGTCTGTGTGCTACGTCGATGACTGAAAATTATACCTATCCTTTCGTTCAACTGACATCGCTCGCGTATTAGGCTATCTGAACTAAGATTTGAGTGAAATCTGAAGATGGTGCTGTCAAAATTCCCCACTAATAAACCCAGCTAAAACTAAAATATTACTAGTTGGTGTTACTCAACTACTGCAGAAATTACCTCCAACGTCAATTTCACTCTTAGGGAAGGAAATAACCCCAGTCGCTGTGGCAAAGGACCTAGGAGTTTACATCGACCAGTTCTTAACATATAACGATCATATTGCTAAAACTACTTCGAACTGTATTTTCAAACTGGTACGGATCAGCAGGATTAAACACCTTTTGGACAAGAAAAATCTCTTACTTTTGATGAACGCTTTTGTTCTTAGTACAATCGGACTTTATTTCAACGATGCTGTAATGTATTTAAATATGTAAATAATTTAGTTCCTGAATATCTGGCTAACACGTACGTTTGTCCCACGATCTCGTATTCATAGTAGGGTAACAAGATCTGCTCCACATCTCACGATGCCGCCTGTCCTCTGGGCAAGGTACATTCACGTATCGTGGATGCAAGTTGTGGAATAACCTCCCATAGGACTTAAAAGCAGCTGAGAATGTAAGCGCCATTAAGCTCCGCCTACTGAATGCGCTCCTTAGTGGAAATGCTGCGCTCAGATGAATCGTTTCAATCTTCTGTTTTTGTCTAATTTTTGTATTAGTTCACTAGTGTTTTTAACGTGTACTGGCCTTTCGTATTTATATTGTATTAGCTTTAGATTTACTTATATATATTTTTAGGCCAATATAATGTTACTCTAATATTGCAATAATTTAATGTAGGCTTTGTAACTGAAAAACCCAGCTTAGGAGTTGCAACTTTGAACGTAAGTATGTATGTATGTAGGTAGGTAGGTAGGTAGGTAGGTATGTATGTATGTATGTATGTATGTAAGTAAGTGCTGGCCCTACTCCAGAAATATTTTGAATAGAGCTGCAATGAGAGACAAAGCGACGTCATTTATTACGGGTCCAAATTATCCGTGGGCGAATAAAACTAATTTAGTATGTAGTGACAAGAGGATATGAACTGATATTCTCATGGAAGTGAAGTTAGTCCCTCAGCTTTAGCTGGGATGTTTATCATCAATTTGGCCAAGGCAACCCTGATTTCGTTCAGCATTACCATCAGCGGACCAACTGCATTCTATATGGAGGTTTTGGAATGGCTAGAGGGTGGTTTCTTGGCATTTGCGCCAGCGTTGGTGTCCCTTTTGGTCGCATTCGCTGTTTTGTCTCAGCTCGTAAGGCTGTTGCGTTTCTTTGTCACTCGATTTCTTTCATTGCTTCTTGATGCTTTGTTCCTGTCCTTTGGATATGGACCAAGAACGAAGACCTCTTCTACATTTTGCTGAACAGCACTGATATCGAGGATAAAAACAGGATATTGCGAAATTTTTTTCCAAAAGTTTAAGTTAATTTTGTTTAGTTTTTAGTTTTATGCGCTCCAGCTTGCAAGGTTAAAAAATTAGTCAAAACCAGTTTATAGGTTTTACTTCGGATAATATGATTCTATTCACAATAGTCGATTCGTCTATTAATAATTTGAATGAACTAATGCTTTATTTTGATGTGCTGGTCAAAAAAGGTTCTGTTTACAGATCTAGTAAGATTTTTTTCCCAAGTTTTCAGCCCTATTGGATGTTGGCTAATGCGTTGCTGCGATTGGTCTGTAGCGCTTCGACTTCAACCCAATTTTTTCCCAGTGTAGCGTTCGGTTTGTAAGAATGTTTAAAAAGCCTATTCTCCAACATGCAAAAAGTACAAAAAATAATCAACTTAATAAAATTGATCAAAATTCTATCAGACTTGGTATATTGAATAGCTTATATAGTCACCTCAAGAATTAATTCATTTATAGTCGGGTTTTACGTTAACTGACAATCCATGAAACTAAAACGGCGATGATAAATATCCATAATAAACTAAATAAAACTTATCGGTTTGTAGTACGCACGAGTCAATGCATCCGCTCGATATTTTCAATGTCTATGAACAATAGAAATCAAAGCTTGTTGTGTAACGTTACTTATTGAGTATGGGTTAGAACAATGACTGTTTCAGCGACGTGAACATCTAATAATTTTCGTGAGAGTCTGAAATTCTTTTCGCTTGCTTGTTCTGATTTGGTTTTTCCTTTTTTGTCATTGAAATCAAGAGAATACAATTCTCTTGTTGCAATACACCTTTCATGCCACTGTTTCTGTGCCAATAAACAAGAAAAGGCTAGAAGCTATCTGATATCTAAACCAACAATTTATTGATTTGAATTTAACACTAGCGTAAACTTGAGCTTTATAATAAAGATCTCCAAGAATGCTACAGGACTCTTAGATTTAGAGTTTTGTGGTAAGATTTCCGCCACTTCCATACTTTATGTGTCATACTTCAACTTGTTTTACAGGCACTTGTGTTTATTGACAAAGACAAAATACTACGTCCTCACAAGTACTGAGTTTTATCATTCTATCAAAGGAGCCAAATATAGTATACCCCAGATGAGCCTAAGCTAGCTTGAGCCAGGCTCACGGTTAATGTGGGCACGAGCCAAAAAGCGACCGCGCGCAAAAAATTGCAGGACTAGGCTATTTTCCTCACGACCATAACCGCCGTTTCCCACCCAGTGCTCGATCCTTTGCCCGTCTTCGATGACTTACAGCTAAGAATAGACTCTGTTTTTTCCGCACTTTAAAGCAATAATGGAGGCTCGAGAGCGTGCTTGGGTACTTAAGTTTCCGGAATCTTTCTCACTCGCCATATGGTATCTTAAATTGTGGCGTTTGGTGTCTAAATAGGTTACAATCTTACGGTAAATTGATATCTCATGTAGAGAAAAATTGGGCATATCAGTGTTCCAATAACCCGCCCCTCTCTCCCTTCTCGTCGATGTCTGAAATATTTTAACGACTTAGACATATAATTAAGTCATTTTCTTTGATCATTACGTTTGTGACGGCAGTAACATTTCTTTCGTCTTGATTACCTGTCAGATGTTGTTTAATGCTTTGCTTATTGAGATGAACTGAGAAAAATAATGATGAGCGTGTCCATCGAGAGTGTGTTACAGGAAGGACTTCTGGAAAGGAAAAAAAAGAACAAGCTTATTGTAAAATGATAATACGCTGCTTTCCCATATCAGTAAGCAGCAAGTCACCAGTTTTTGAAATCGCCATACCCCAGGGTGATTGGATTTCTTGATAAAAGGAACTGAGAAATTCACCATCCTGGGTAAACATTTGCAGTCTATTGCTGCGGTTGTCACAGACGATCAGGTTATCAAAAGCGTCAACAACAAGGCCGCAAGGATAATTTAGCAGTCCTTCACCAGAACCCTCGCAGCCAATATTAAAAATAAATTCACCCTCCTCATTGAAAACCTTTATGCAGTTAGCAAGGTGATACGACACAAAGAACTTATCACAATGATAAAAAACACATGCGGGGCTATCGTCGCAATCCGGATCACCAAAGAATTGTAGTAATTGCACACCGTCTGGGGAAAGGACCTTGATTTTCCGGTCAGCTTTATCACAAGCGATCACGTGATCACCATCATCACCATTTCTGACAAAAACAGTCGAAGGACGAAACACGCGCTCACTAAACTTTCGGATAAACTGACCATCCTCAGTGATTAGAGACATGTGTGTCGGGGAACACTCAATGCTATGGATGACTACCATATCACCATCCCTTAAAAATGCTACAGACAAAGGATGATCAATCATCACAGCTTCACCAGTTGGCGATCCCACCTCGCCTCCTATCGTCCTGAGGTATTTCAAATTCTCATCAAAAACCTGAAGGCGGTTATTTAACGTATCTACCACGGCAATGTCTCCTGAGAATTTATTCTGTACAATACTGCGCGGTCCATTAAATTCTCCTTCTCCATTTCCGGGTGAACCACACGACTTAATCACTTTATACTGAAGTGGCTTCACCTTTACTCTCCAGGGGCTACCGGTCAGTGGCCATCCTTCAATCTCGATTGTAACGTCGTGTCGCCCTGCACACTTTGGTTTGTAACCTACTGAGTAGTTACCATCTTTTAAATCTATGGTTTCTGCTTTTATTCCCCATCTTGGAGATCTGATAGTGACGATTACGTGTTCTTGTTCGCTGTAAATCTGTTTTCCTTCTGAATCTCGTGTAGTTATCGTGAAGTTAGCTTCAGCGCCCTGTTCAGCTTCTTTTAAACCGTTTCCTTCAGGTTGTGACTTCGAATGGTCGGTGTGACTAGATGCAATAATTTCTAAACGGACAGAAAAAAACAAACAAAGAAAAGATAAGAGATATGAAAACAAATCAACTGAAGGCTAAGGCAATTTTCGCTTAGAAAATTTCTCAACAGGTTGCTAACAAAATTTCGGTTACTGAGTTTTGAACCTTCCCTCTTTATATATACTAGATGAAAATGATGTCTTAGATGCATGTCAGAAGCACACAGCTCAAACTGTAACTAAAAAAGGGAAGTATTTACAAGTCGAGGTCTTTTGCTAGCTTATATCTGTTCACTTGAGCTCCTCCAAACGCTTATCAAGAATCCATTTTGAACATTCTTTACCCAAATGATAACTTAGTAATGGTCGATATGATAACGCTTCGGTAAGTCCGATAACACCCACCACTACTGAAACAAAACTTCAACTTTACGGAGATTTTGAAGTATCTCAGGTTATGATCAAGTTACGTTTTTCTTTCAGGGTCCACACTTACTTTCTACATGTTAGCTACTAATTAGAGTGATTTCTTATTGAACACGTCGTGTTACTTTCGTTATTAAACCTGCATTGAAGTAGCAAACCAAAAGTAATGATTCAATCCTAACCTACATGTGACAAGTAGTGATACTTACCTGGATTTGTGATTTCGCTGAATGGTTCCACTTCGTTCAAGAAAGACTTCCTGCATGCCAGGTAGTCTTCTCTTTTGATGGTAGTTTTAAAACTGACATCATTCAGGTCCAGTTCCTCTCTCACCTCATCAGTCAGAATGAACTTCTCAGCCATTTCATTGAGGTCACCAGAACAGTAGTCATTCTTCAAACCTTCAAGGCTCTCCAGGGTGAGGCATTCCACTTGTATTTCTAGGCAGCCGAGTCCCAAGGATTTGATAAGGAGGTTGTGCACGTTTCTTATGTACTCGATGAATTTACCTACTCCTCCACTTGGAGAAAATGTATTGTACTCCATGAGCATTGAGATTTGTTCTACAAGATGTTGATTGAATTTTTCCTCTTTTTTGAGGTCAATCTGGTCGAGGGAAACTTTAATCTTCACTTCATGTGGTTCTCCAATTGTGCCTGAGAAAGATAAAGAGCAGTCACTGCAGTGATTGCGATTTCGGCGGCCCAAAACGAACAGACTTTGTACATCAGAAATGCACAAATCCTACCACTATTCCAGCCATTTCTCGGTGAAATGCTATTCCTATCGTCGTTCCTACTTTTTCACAGTAATTTTTTACCTTTTATGACTAATTACGCAGTCATATGACACCAAAAACAAGCGGTGAATATGACTAACAATTAAGACATTCAGAGTATATATACTTTTTTCAAATTCTCATGATTGGCTTGAGATTTCATATGCATATATAGATACATGCATAGATATATACATATATCATAAGTTACTAGTTTGAGCACTCTGGCATGACTTAGATAATACCACGAATGTGGAATCATTTGGGGTTGCTGTATGACTTTACCTCCAGCCTAGAATCAGCACTGCATATATATAAATATATATGTATAACCAAAATAGCGGAATGAGATCATCATCTACTAAAAAGTGCTCAATAGCAGGGCTAGAGCTATGGATAATTATACTTCAAGATTTAGGTTACTTGAACTTTTACTGCAACTCTGAGTTTCATGCCTCTTTCTAATTCATTTCGGTTGTTTAAGGTTGACATTTCGAGCTTACAGAAAATAAAATACTTCTCCCACAAACACAAATTACAATTCTTGGTGACATTTGAGTAAGATCTTGCCCGTTTTACTTTGCGCCATTTAATGTTGTACTCAATGCTTTGGTCTTTCAGGTTCCAAATATGCTTACTAAGAGTTGCATTTCTATAACGTTCATTACGAAATGAGCAAATGTGGTTTCGATATCTTAATTTGAATGAAGTATCACAAAGTCCGATATATGTTTCCCTTGAACNAAATGGTATAAATGGCAATGTCCTTTCAAAGTCGCACAGGTTTGCTTTTCATTTCCTTAATAGAAATATCTATGTGAGCACATAGCTCATTTCGATTTCGCAAAAAGTAGTTTTCTACAAGGTTTTGAATTTAAGGTTAAAAACGTGAGCCCCAAAAACACCTTAAAAAACCACTTTCTAGCAGAGAATGTTATCATATCCTGTGCGAAAATACTTGCGGGTGTTTTGTTGGAGTTTGACTAATGGTCGTGGGTCGTGGGTCGTGGGTACAAGTCGTGGGTCGTGGGTGTGGGTGTGGGTGTGGGTAAAAGTCGTGGGTGTGGTTAATACTTAATAATAAAAATAACCATTTAAAATATTAAATATAATAATACATAAATTTTATACAACCCTGTCATTCATTAATTTAACTGTTCTTTCTTCTAGTTATTTTATTTTGTTTATTCAATTTACCCTACTTTACGTCTATTTTTATCTGTTATCTCATTGTCAATGAAATTAGTTTCAGTTTCGCGACGGGAAGAGAGATAAATCTTGTAATTACATTAAATTAGTTTCACAACACGATAATTTCGGATCTGTCACCAGCGCGATCGCCGACGAGTGTCCATTGGTCGGCTACTCTGGGATTCGATTTTTCCCTTTTTCTGCTTTTTAGGGTTGTTGTCAAGGGAAATCCACAGGACATAATCCACAGAAATAATCCTTCACGCAAAGCGATCAGTACTACTCAGCGATGATTGTCCATGGGAGAAGAAATCTGCAAACAACCAATTTGATGTCACGATAGGATCTTTTGGTGGGGCCGAAACGTGCGAGCTAGTCGGATGCTACCTTTTCTCCATCCTCACGAAAAAATACGGCAGAAACATAGGCTTATACCACGATGACGGATTAGCAGCCTTAAATAGGAATCCCCAGGAAATTGAGAAGAACAAGAAGGAGCTGTGCAAAATCTTCCGTGCCAACGATTTGAAGAGGCCAACACGACTATTGTAAACTTTCTAGATGTCACGGTTGACCTCCAAAGCGGTAAACACTATTCCTTTACGAAAGACGGGAACATCCCACTCTATGTGCACAAAGACTCCAACCATCCACCGTCAATCCTGAGAAACATCCCGGAATCCTTAAACAAGAGGCTGTCAGAAATTTCGTCCGACAAAGAATGCTTCGACGATGCCAAGCACGTGTACCAAGAAGCTCTTAATTAAAGCGGTTACCGTTACAAACTAACGTATAACGTGACAACCAGCCAGACATCACGCCCGTGGAGGAACAGACGAAGGAACATTCTATGGTACAACCCGCCGTATAGCAGAAATGTTGAAACAAATGTTGGAAAATGCTTTCTTTCCTTAATCGACCAGCACTTCCCCAAATCTAATCCACGACATAAAATTTTCAATCAGAACACTGTTAAATTAAGCTACAGCTGCATGAATAACGTTAAATCAATTATCTCCAGCCACAACAAAGCCGAAATAAGAAAATCCCCAGTCCCTGAAGTAAATAACAAAAACTGTTACTGCCGTAAACTGGGCGCGTGCTCTATGGATGGTAACTGCAGCGTGGAGAACATAATATACTAGACCGAAGTAACCACGTATATAACAAGGGAAACATCTATCGGACTTTGTGACACTCCATTCAAATTAAGATATAGAAATCATGTTTTCTCATTCCGTAATGAACGTTATAGAAACGTAACTGAGCTTAGAAAGCATATTTGGAACCTGAAAGACCGGAACACCGAGTGCAACATCAAATGACGCGAAATGAAACGGGCAAAATCTTACTCGAACGTCACCAAGAATTGCAATTTTTGTTTGTGGGAGAAGTATTTTTATTTTGTGTAAACCCGAAATGTCAGCCTTAAACGACCGGAGTGAATTAGCATCGTCCGGTAGACACTCTAGGAAATTTCTGCTAAAAAATGTCATCACCTAATTAGCGCGTGCCGCGCTACACAGCAGACGTTTTTTCAACTAACTTTGAATCTAACTGTTTTTCAGGCAGTAGCCTGATGATTGCTTCTGATGGAGCATGAAACTCTGAGTAGCAATTAAATGTCTTGGACCATACAACCCAACTCGTTGCTGATAATATTTTCTACTGCTCTAGTCCAACTATTGAGCACTTTGATAGTCGATAATGAGGCCCAGAAGGCCGAAACAGTACTGTCTGCAGTTAGATATAGCTCTTTGGCATACAAAGCTTTGCTTTCATGTCCAAATTGAGCACTCTAACTAGGATGAGTCATTGCTCTGCAATTGCGCATGCTCGCTAGTGTACTCTAGTTTGAGCACTCTGGCATGGCTTAGACGATACCACAAAGGTTGGATCGTTTGGGGTGACCATATTGGTTCTCCTCCATCCTAGCATTAGCACTGCACTGATGAGGCCCAGAAGGCCGAAACAGTACTGTCTGCAGTTAGTTATATATATATATATATATGTATGTGACTAACTTATAACATGTATACACATGTACACATTTATGAAATCAAAAAGTGCCGAATTATGGTTTGCTAAGCAAATATAACAAAAATTTATATTTAGTACCTGGACTAACACCTCCTCCCAATTGCTCAGCAACTTCAGAGAACGACTTCCTACATGAGTTGTACTCGTCGTCTTTGATCAAGGTCGTTAAGTTTACCATGTTTAGTTCAGCTTCATTTTTCTCTTCATCAGTCAGAAGGTATCTCTTAACGATTTCATTGAGGCGACCAGAACGGTAGTTTTTCCACAGCTTTTCAAGGATCTCCAAGGAGGGGCACTCCATTCGTACTTCTAAGCAGCCAAAACCAAAAAATGGGGTTTCTAGGAAATAATCACGAGCTACGCGCTTAAGGAAATCACCCAGTCCATTACTTGAAGAGAACGAATCGCGTTTTTTGAAAATATTTATGTCTGATGCAAATTTGCGATTACATGTGCCGTGGTTTTGGGTTACGATCTCAATTCTCATAACGGCCGTAATGACACCTGGAAGACAGAAGAAAAAACGTAAATGAAGCATGCATATGGTTCAAGATTAGTTCGAGTCAACGGGGAGTTCGCGCAAGTTAGCAGGGGCTTTTTCGTTTTATCATTAGACATTATCATTATTATTGTTGCTATCACCATCTTGCCTAGCCTGAGCCATTGACTGGAAAAAACTCATTGTTCCTTGCCCCTACTTCTACTGCTACTGCTACATAAATGATCAAATTACCTGATTTTGAAACCCTTCTCGATGACTTCACAAGTTCCTCTTCTTTAACGACAGTTCTTATGCCAATACCATGCAGGTTAAGTTTCTTTTGCACTTTATTGGTCAGAAGGAATCTCTCAGCGAGTTTATTCAGTTTACCATTACGGTAATCTCTCGACGGTCTTTCGAAGATCGGCTCTGGGCATGTCATTCCTACCTCGAAGCAGTCAAACTTCAATTCTTTAGTGCTCAGGTGGTAGTCGTTTTCTAAATGGTTAAGGAAGCCATGGAGTCCTTCTGTGGGGGAACGCGTGTTGTGTTTCAAAAAGATCTGTGGGTGTGCAAACTGGCGTTTGAATGTCCCCTTTTGAGTGTCAATGTTGAGTTTTATCTCATGTTTAACGTTTAAGTCACCTGAAAATCAAAATTAAACAAATCCATAAATGAAAAGGATAAAAAAAGATCGCATTACTTTTGCCCAATCTCCAATTGAGTCTTCCGGCTTATAGTCATAGAATGAAAGGAACTGGTGAACCCAATATAACTTTCCAACAAACACCGCATAAATTAATTTATGATATTGAGATGGTGGCCCAACCCTTTAGAAAAGTAGTTCATGAAAAAATAAAAAAAATTTTTATCAGGGAGTCTGCTATGATGAATTACATATTTTGATGCTATCCATGACATAAGGCATATCTCATCCTTCGTCTAGCCGATCTTTAACGCTGCGTGGCAACGTTGAAGTCTTCAAGTGATTGGTCAAATATCGACTAAGTTCAGAATTTCTAGGTGAAACTAGATAGATTGCAAACTCCTCTACTTTATCACCGAGCAAAAAAAAAAACAACATCAGATTACTAAAAAAAAAAAAAACCATAAGATCAATGGCTTTCTAATGTTCCAATGTGAGCCCTGATGAGGAAAAACTAATCCCGGCTCAAAAGATTAAACTGGAGGACCCAAACTAACACATGAACGAAATCAAATAATGGTCTGTCAAACATTAACTTACAATAAGCCTTACCTTGGTCAACGATTTCTTTCGATGCTGTCAAAGCATGTAACATTTTCCCCTGAGTCTGTAACATTTCCTCCTGCACATGTACCATTTTCTCTTGAAGTTTCTTCAATTCCCCCAGCTCTTCTTTAATATTACCTTCTTCCTTTTCCCACTGACTCAGTAGTTCCATGTAGTGACCTTCAACTTCAGGGTCCATGCATTGATTCCTAAGATCGTCAATGGCAGCTTCATAAGTAACTCCTCCTAGTCTGATATCCCGGATATCACGCCAGCAGTCACTGAACCGGTGTCATCAACAGAAGCTTTCTCAGCATGACCGTACACAGTGTTCCTAAAATACTTAACTCGGGCAATGTCAGCTTCCCTGCTGAGGTCTGTCACGTCGGGCAATGTGTCCCAGCCGGTCAGCGGAGCAGTTAAGCCGCACAGGTTTCGTAGCAAAACCATCAGCAAAGTTGTATCGAGGGAACGGGACGACACTGAAGTAGATATGGCAGGGAAAAGTTGTCCCCATTGTGTTGGATTACTGATCCTCTTCGTTCTGAGAGATTGTAGTTTGGATTTGTTTGCCACCAAAACGGTGTGTAAACTTGCTGGTGCATGAATGGCATCAAACGTATCTCGAAGATCTTGGGTTCCAATATCAACCAGCATACGGCACAACCTGGCATAGTTTGTTGTCTCCTTCGTGGATGAAGTAGTCGGTGCAGCTGAAGCCATTATGTGAATCCTGTTGATTAATAATTAGTTCATGCTCAGTATGAGTAAATAGCACGATGGATCTAAGCAGACAGTTAAGGGAGCTCGATGAAAAGAGCGCAAAGCTTACTGCAAGTTCTTGAATGGTTTTTGTATATTCCCCATGTGTATACTTTGTTCATACTTTTAGAAAATTTTTGGACAAATTTAGGAAACGCGCTTTGTCTGCTTTATTTCTGTTTGCTCTTCTCTTCACATAGTCTGTAACATAATTTGGAAAAACAAGCATAACTTTTGGTCTGTTTCTTAATGTAGCACTGCTGGAAAAAGCAGCAAATTATTTTTGCTTTTGCTTTTATAGTGTTTTTGTGCTTGTTTGTTTTTTTTTTTTTTGTTAGGAAAAATTACCAGTTATGACTTGTTTGGTCTATAAGCTTGATAATTTAGGAGTTAGTCTATTTTCAATTTTACATTGTCTTAAGGAAGAGAGTTAGCGCATGCAGCTCTGAGTCGTTCGACGTCTTTAATAGTCTAAGCACACCGGAAGTAAGGATTCGGTCTGTCCCAGTTCCCGCTTTCGCAGGCAACAAGTAACGTCGAAGGGAAATGTGATATTGGACATCTTGACAATAGGGTCACCGCGTTTAGTCTGGAATTTAGCGCAGAGAAAGATGTAACTAAAAATAAGGCAGATATCTTGCTTTACATAATCTCGATTGATCCCTAACTCTCTCAGTTATCCCTTATCCCTGTAACTATTTACTTAGTTATCCGTTATCCCTAAAATTATTTATTTTACCAGTTATCCCTCATCCCGAAAACCGCTAACAGGGCCTCGTTAATAATCAGTTACGATTTCGGTCTATGGCTCAGTCTTTTTTCAATATTGCAATGTCTTAGTGAAGAGGGTTACCGCAACGCTGAGTCATTCGACGTGTATAATATAACAGTCTGGGCACACCGGAAGTAAAGATTGCGTATGTCCCAGTTCCCGGTTTCGCGGGAAACAAGTGGCATCGAAGAGAAATGTGATATTGGACATTTTGACATTATTGTCACCGCGTCTAGTCTGGAACTCATAACGGGCCTCACGCCGTTAGCAACCAAAATTTTGAAACGTTTAAAATGTTATGAAAGCTGAAAAAGAAAGGGTTCCTGTGTCGCGCTTATTCAGAGCTACAATTTTGAATGGCCGAGGGGTGGGCGCTTATTCAAGGAAATACAGTATATCGATTACTTAAGGCTGTGCGCGTTATTTCGTGTTGTTTCATACTTTATATTATCTCATATTACCCAGTTTGTTAAGAAATCAATCGTCGTCGTGTGTTTACGTCCTACAAAAACGTCGC